ATCAGTGTGCAAACTCCAATGAGAACTTTTGGCCTTGTAGACAGGCTGTGATCAAATAAATCAGAAAGTTGTCAATCAATACCTCTAACCGGCCAACCTTTAATTTGGAACCTATAATTTTAATATTAACTAAGCATGTTAAAAGACCATACAGGGCATAACAYAACAATAAAAAGATGTAGTCCACTAGCAGGAATCAGTGAAGAAGAAACACAGCTAAAGAAGGCTGTTATGGATATTTTTTTCCCTATTTGCTGAGATTACTTTATCTAATTAAGCCCCTTGACAAGCACCAGGAAAATGATATCCTAGGTTGTTAGCTCCCAAAACAAACCAGATAGACTATATCCTGCAAACCTCTTACATGAACAAGCAGCATTCCTCTCCTCTAGCACAACCTGTGGCCCTTAATTTAAGGGAGAATACTGCCCAGCTRAAAATCACAGAGTAAGAGTCTTCATCTGTATTTAAACGAGTTCAGCATTTAAATACTTCTTGCCTCTGTTGAAACAAATTATGCTTTTGAGTGTCAAACTGAAAATAAATTGGGCCTTTGCTTTCAGTACATTTCTGCTTTCAGTACTTTCTGCTTCTAATAATCTAAAATGCAATACTTTAATATGTCAACCAAAGCTCAGGATTTTATTTAATTCAGAAATACTTGAGTAGAACTTTTTTTAGGAAGATGTGACTTTTCTCATAGCCATYTTAAATATTTGACAGTTCAGTTTAACCTCAGAGTTTCTTTCATTTTATCAAAACAATTCAGTGGGGAAATAAAAAAAGAAAAAACAAAGAAAAAACAAAGAAAACCAACACCCAAACCACAGACCATGCATTGCATGATACAAATCTTGGTACCCTCCTTAGATAAAGCTTACATTAGTAAGAATAAAGTGACGCACCTAAAACCAACTGATAAACAGAAGAAATAGAAGATAGAATAACTCCATTTAGATGGACTTTTAAASGCTTATTTCAACTAACTATTTTTAAAAAATAACTTTGGTCATGCTTAATATAACCAAGGTAAACATGACAAAAYGGGGTGGAGGAGAGCGCGTGGCTGTCGGCATCTAACAGTAATCTAATACAGGCAGCAGACTGAAATGCAAGACCTGCTTTGATATGATGTCATCCAGGTTGGCTTATGAGCATATACACCAGTGTCACTGGCAAGGTTCTCACAAAACAAATCCACATTTTCTTTTAAAATCTCGTATCAGCTTTAGACACTGCTAGAATCTATCTTACCCTATATTTCCAAGTCCATATAAAAAAAAAAAAAAAAAAAAAAGATAAAGGGATATCTTAAAAGACTTGGAATAATTCAGAAACTCATAAACCTGGCATTATGCCTACATTAACTGCTTGGGTGCAAGTCTCAAAATGAAATCCTGCTCCTTTTGAAAGGCATTATCATGCAACCACCCACTTACATAACAACAACAGAGGAAAACTATAAAAAAAAAGACACCAGTTTAACTGACATTTTCCATCAGGAATAGCAGTCTAGCTTTGCACAAAAAGTAAATTCCACAGCTATAAAAGCCTTTTTCACTACAGGCATTTGTGATCACTCAAAGATTTTCTTTTAGTTTCCTAAGATTCATCTAAAAAAATCATTTCTTTTATAGACAGTTTTTGATGAGGCTTTCATCAATCAGCCTGTATAAAACCTTTGAATGCAGATACTAATTTCAGCTGCAACAGAACAATTTTTATGGTTTACCCATCTTTTGCATCCATTTATTTATTTTGGTATAACAAAACCTAGCTGTGCAAGGCTTCTGTAGAGTCTGCGAAGCCTATCTGCCTTTTTTTTTCTTTCCTTTTTGTTTCTTTTCTTCCTTGAAAAGTCTTCAAGAGAAAAAGAGAATAAGAGAAAAGAATAAGAGAGTAAGAGAATATAGTGTAAGGGACTTTTCAAATCGTGACAATTATTTCCCTTAAGAAGCTGGTAGGAAAATGAGAGCTATTCAAGAGTTTAGTTCCTGGTTTTAGACATTCTTTTTTACTGTTCACCCTCTCCCCACAGCCCTAAATGCATTCTTAAAATGATCAAAAAGTAGTAACTCAAATAATGGTTAACAGAATTCTTCTGAGTCCTAATAAAGGAAGGGGAAGGCAGTGAAAAATAAACAGACGGTTCAGTGATTGATGCTATAGAGAAAGCTTTTTGATTGTCCTTCCTAACTTAAAAGGAATGAAACAAAAGTAGCTGTTTTATTAACTATCAGACTCAAGGAAAGACTATRAGTAGAATTCACCAAATTTAGTATCTCCCATTACTTCCTGTGGCACAACTAGCAGGATCACGCTGATTAAAGTCGCTAGGCATACAGAGTTAGAAGAGATCATGARGGGACTAAATTTAAATAGCGTGATATCCAAAGCCACCTATTAGAAAATAATATCAAGAAGTCCAGACAGGTGTTCATTAATTCAAAATGACTAGAGAGGAGAACCTCAACTGTTTACTTAATCACACAGAAAGAAGGTTTCAGGAAGGACATCAAGGAAAAATAAAAAAGTATGAGTGCCATATCCACTAGGAGATGGGGACTATTTATGTTCAGGAAATACTTGCACTACTGTTTGAACATACTAGAGTACTCAGGAAAAAACAATATATTATAAAAAAAAAAAAAAAAAGCTTATTGAGAAGAAGAGAAAAAAACTGCTTTTCTTAATCATCCCGTAGATCAAARGGTGCGAAAAATATGAGTGCTGTGTGTATGGTGTTGCAAAAAAACACTACAGAAGGAGAAAGGTTACTGAGGTAAAGCACAACCCCGGCCCCGTGACCAAGGCACACGCAACTGCCACAAATTAAAATTTTGCCATCAATACCTAGATCAGGCCATAGCTCTCTAAACAGGGAAATACTGTGGGGGGCAAAGGTGGGTAGCTACCTTTAAAGCAAAGGTTGGGGAAGGAAAAAAAAAATGTTTATTAGGGGTTTACACGAAGTGATGCAGTAATAAGGAAGGATGAGCGCAGCAGACCCAGGAGGTTTCTGCGAATGTGCACACTCATCTCCCACGGAGGRGAGCCGCCACAGCAGCACCCACGCGCGCAGCTCCGCGGCCTGGCTTAGCGGAGAGAAACGGCGTTTTCGCCGCCAGCACCGAGGCCCAGCGAGGAGCCCCGCGGCTCTCCCCACGCCGCGCACCCCGAGCCCCGCAGAGGGGACACCCGCGGCGAGAAGCGGCCGCCTTTGAGCCCGTTTTATGTAACCGGGGCAGGAAGGGGGTTATACAACACGCTGGGGCGGGGGGGGCGGCCCCTCAGCGTGAGGCGATGGCGGTCGCCGCCCGCCCGCCGCGGGCTCCCCTCAGCGGCGGGGAGGGGGAGGGGCGCCCCGCCAACGGCCCCGCGCCGGTCAACGGCCTCACCTGCCGCCCCCCCCGCCAACRGCTCGCGCCCCTCAGCGCGGGGCTGACGCCGCCGCCCCAACGGCCCCCCCAAGACCCGGGACGCCCGCGGCGCTTCTCGGCTGTCACCCCCTCTYCTTCCCCCCTCCCTCAACCCCCACGGCAGCGGCCGCGCTCGTTCGCTCACTCACCATGGCGGCGCGGCGGGCCGGACGCGAGCGCCCAGCGAACCGCGTCCCGGCGCTGGGCTGCCTCTTTTTATTTATTTATTTATATACATACATATATATTTTTTTCCCCTTGCCCCCCCTCCCCCAACTGCCACCCCCGACCTGGAAGGGAATCTGCCTGAGCCGGCCGGGAAGCAGCGCTGAGCCCGCCTCCCTTAAAGGGGCCCGCTGTGAGGCGAGGGCGGCGGTGGCAGCCAGGTTGGAGCCTGCGGCGCCGCCGGGGCGTGGGGTGGGGAAGGCCACGAGCAGGACCAGGGATAAGATCAGGATGAGGATTAGGACTGTCACCAGCCCAGCGCAACGGCCTTTGCATAAGAGCTTCGAGCTGCTTTCACGTCGGAGCAAGGATGAAGGGAGAGTAATAGGAGGCTGGTGAGTTTGCCCAACTAAATGCTGCCTGCTCAGCATGAGGGAATTAAGCASCCCTTGGACACCCCTTAGCTGGCATTTCCTCATCTTGGGGAACCTCTATCATTGTGAGAAGTCCAGCATCACCTTTACACTTGTTGCTTGCCAGCAGACCTCTGTATCCAAACCTGCTTTCCCCTCCAATTGGTCTCTTAAGGTAACAGGAATCATCTGTCCAAGCACGGTAGCTTTTGCTTCCTGCAAAAAGGAGAGGAGTTTTGCCACATGTTCCAGTACAAAAATATTTCAGGCTTTGGGTACAGGCCTACTGATGAAAGCCGATTTCCTAGCAGATGTGCTATAATGTATTGTTGAAGATAAATACAGTTATTTTTGTGATGAAATACAAATAAAGAGTGATACAATTACCATCCAAGTAAAATGTAATTACAAAGACATTGTGGTTAAGCTTTTTATAGAGTTGCTGTTTTTCTGTACAGTAGCTTTGAATAACATTTGTTTACAACCAAGATATCAATAAACATTAACAGGAAAAATGTTGTGTCTCTGCCATTAGATGATAATATATCCTACAAGACAGCAGCTTATGCAAACAATTTTACTTGTTTTAACGTCTGTGCAACAAGGCGCAGTTCCAGCCCCGTTGTTTAGATGGGGATGTTGAGACAGGGAAAGTAAACGATGTGTTTAGGACATCGTTTCAAGCAGGAGCAGAGCGAAAAGTCCCCACGGTGTGAATTAAACTGCGTAAAAAACTATCCCGGTTAGAAGAAAGAACATAGTTACACGTATCTAATTCTAGAAGCGTTTTCGTTTGCTGCGTGAAGCGCCAAGGCGGAGAGCGGGAAGTCGGGGCGGTTTTAGCAGCGCGGCTGCGCCGCCCGGCTCGTCCAGCAGGTGGCGCCGCCGGCGCGGCCGCCGCTGCGCGGGCGCGCATCGAGCCTCGGCGCGCTCGGCGCTCTGCGGCGCGGGCTGGCGCCGCGGCGCTCGGCGCTCTGCGGCGCGGGCTGGCGGCGCTGGTGGCATGGCGGGGCTCGTGAACTTCGAGGACGAGGAGGAGGTGCGCGCCTACCTGGAGAACCTGCACATCGAGTACAGCTACCAGTGCTACCGYGAGGGCGACCCCGACGGTAAGCGCTGTCCCCCGCCGCCCCCCGCGGGACCCCTCTCCCCCGCCGCGCCCATCACCGCTGCCTTGCAGGCTGCCAGCGCCTCGCCGACTACCTGGAGGCCGTGAAGAAGGACTTTGAGGCGACGGCGCGGGTGCTGCGCGAAAACTGCGAGGCGCACGGGCACAGCGAGAGCTGCTACAAGCTGGGAGGCTACCAGGCCATCGGGAAAGGTGTGTGGGGGGGTGTCCTTCCCGGCCTCTCGGCAGTCCCGGTGTCACCTTTCATGCACAGAGTGACTGGCAGCCTGATCGTGTTGTGGGTGGGGAGTGAGCAGCAGGTTCTGCGGCAGGAAGGGCCCCTGGATGCCCGTGGGGAAATGTGCCTCTCTTTTATGGGGTGTTGAGGGCCTGCTTTTCCTCCTTGACTTTGAAGAAAGAAGTAGGTGTCTTTCTTATGGCCTCACAGTTAAGGAAAGGGTGGCGGGCTTTTGTTGTACAGTTTTCAGCCTTTTTGTTTTAGTTAAGGGTCACTAGAAGTCCTCTGCAAGATATATTTATCTTTTAAGTTCTGAGTTGTTAGAGGTGCAGGATTGGATGAGTCCTCTCAGGCTTCTGTGGCCTGGAAGGTTGAGGACAAAGCAGAAACCTTAGCTGTAGGAATGGAACTTTTAGAGAGGGCTGCAACGTGTGTTTGTGTTTCTGCAGCTCTTGTTAGATTTAAGATGTTTGTTTTACCAAATTATTTGAATCCTGTAGATAATGACAATGCAAGGACAAAAAAGAAGTATAACTTAGAAAACTTTAAACTATTTAAGATACTCCTCCTTACTACCCAACCAAGCGTTTTAGCTACAGGATAAAAAAGATGCAGCACATGCTTACTGTAATCTTTTGGGGTTTTTTTTGTTGTTGGCAGGTGGACTCGTCCCAGATTTGAAAGCTGCCTACAACTCCTTTATGAAGTCTTGTGAGAAAGGTGGGAAGAGGTCAATAAATGCTTGTCATAACATTGGGCTCTTGGCCCACGATGGGCGAGTAAATGGTGATAAACCCGACGCAGTTGTCGCTAGAGACTATTACACGAAAGCCTGTGATGGCAATTTTGCTCCTAGCTGTTTCAACCTCAGTGTAATATACCTGCAAGGAGCACAGGGGGTCCCCAAGGACATGAACCAAGCCTTGCAGTATTCCCTGAAAGCCTGTGAGCTGGGTCATGTGTGGGCTTGTGCTAATGCCAGTCGAATGTATAAACTGGGAGATGGCATTGAGAAGAACGATACCAAGGCAGAAGCGTTGAAAAACAGGGCCAAACAGTTGCATAAAGAACAGAGAGAAGCACCGATTTCCATAACTTTTGGGGAGTAAAACTGTCATTTGTAGTTCTTAAATTGGAATTTTACATGTTTAGTGAACTGGTTATTTAAATCATGTGGACATACAGCTTTTACTCAGAGTAAATAAATATTCTGTAAATTTTTGCATATAAAAATAAATCTATGTTTTCTGGACATAGTGTGGTCAACTCTGGCGCCGTTTTATCCACCTTTAAATACTTGTGTTTTTAGATTCCTGCCTTTCCTTTAAGAAGGGCAAAAACTTCTGGACTTTGGAAAGTTTGTCTCTGAACTCAAGCAAGGAGAGCTCTTGCTTATTATGTTTCAGTGTCAAGGCTTGTGCTACGGGAAGTTCTAATACCAAAAAAATAGTTGCAAGGTCATTCAAACTTCAACATTCAAAACTATACTAAAAACTTGCCAGCACCTGTGGAACTTGGATGATGTGCACACGTAGATGGGCTGCTCTGAGGCTTCTCAGTGCCGAAATGGTCTGAGAAACTTGAGTCATTTCATTTGCTGAAGGTAACATTTGTTGTCCAAAAACTGTATTAAGACTTGTTGTTTTATTTACTCTGTCATGAAACTATCAAAAAAACACACATAACCAGGAGAAAAAAAACTTGATCTATGAAGAAATACTAATTTTGTATTCTACTAAGGTATCTTTAATGTCATAAATCTGAGAAGCTTGGATTTATTGAATCAGTCTCATAAGTTTTACAGGCTGTTACTGAGTATAATTCTTCTATAAAAGTTTATTATTTGTTAGAAACACTTTAATTTCTAAATAATTTAACATCTTAGTGGAGTCAAATGAATAATCTTTTGTTGAAGAGTAACTTTTGGCATAAAATGTTCGATGGAGATGGGGAAAGGACAAGTTATAAAAGCTGTGTGAGTTTGTTTTGTTTTCTTGATGTTGTTGTTTTGAATAGGAAAAAAAGTTAGTGGAACACTTCTTCAGCATACAAGTAAAAGCTGTGTTCTGTAAAAGTACATGTTTTTGGGAGGGAATTGTCCTGAGTTCCTCTCTCCTAACAGGACTTTTAGCATACAAAACTGAAGTAGATTTCTGTTGGGCAACAAGTTTTGAATGTTGGAGCTGTGTCCATCATGCTGTGAGCTGCATTCTCTTGTGCTCATCTTTTGGAAACACCTGCCTATACAGAGCCCACTGGCTGTGCCCCTTTGTCACAGCCAGGAACACTGATTKGCCCAAGGGGGGCAGTGCAAACCCAGGAAGTCTCCTTTCTGCTTTACTTCATACTATGCTGTCATACTCGATCTGATTAATGCTTTTCCGTCCTATCTGCCATTTTATATATTAATTTACACTTCTAAATATTGTAATACAAATCTACAATACTCTTCTTAAGCTAGAAAGCAGTTTGTAGTTGTTTGGTGTCATCTTTTATGTGCAAATTAAAAATGGTATTCCTGAGAGAAGAGGGGAAAAAAAAGCCATGGAAACTATCAGTGAAAAATGCCATCTTTTATTCTACATGTTCACCTGTAGCAGAGGTGGGATGCGGCACTCCTGTGGAAGCGTTGGATGCTGTGCTCAGTTTGYGCTGGGTACTGCGCAAAACTCCTGTTAGCAGCCGGCAGTAATGTGGGTTTACCAGTGTGAAGGGAATGTTACCCTCGGAACAAGCGGAGGGACTTATCGGATACTGGTTCATGGCACGGTCCTGCTGTGTGAAATGAATGTCAGCTTACTTGGCAAGTTAGCAAAATGCGGGTATTTATGCTCTTCTCAGCATGCCCAGCGTTTTAACTTGCACACTGCCTAGCAACAGCTGAAACTAAAGAATGATTTTTAATTAATTTTACCACATCTTCTAGCAGGAGCAATTAACTCAATGTATTAGTATGTCTGTTGTTATCTTCTGTTCAGAAAAGCTGATGATACACCAGAGTTGCACAAACTGCAGCTGGTTCTTCTTGACAGTGTGCATAGGACTGCTCGTACTGAATGCAGTGAGATTGCTCCTCTGAGAGATGGAGGTTTAAGACATAAGTGTTTATGACATTCTTAGGGATTCTAAATATGTGCGATAGTCTCAAGAGATAAACATGAAAAGATAATTGAATATCTTCAAATGCAAGCGATGAACTATACTGGCAACTGGTTTCAAGGTGACTGCACATAGTTTGTGTTGTGGAATTTTATTACCTCTAGATTTCCATAGTTCACGTGTTAAGAAAAGGTGGTGTTAACTGCTAGAGGAGATTTGCAGCCTGAGCTCTGCTCTGTCTGGTAAGAGTCTTCAGTTGGGGAATCCCTGACAGTTTGACAGTTGGCGAAGAGTTCTTCCCCATACCTCTCTGGTCACCTCAGTAATTATGGCACATCAGGTTTTAAGCACAGCTGAATGTTGAGGATCAGGCAGGTGTTCTTGCTGCACATGAAACATAAAAATGGGCACACAGTTTTGGGGAGGCAGAATGTGCTCAGAGCAAATGAACTTGTTTGCCTTATCCTGGTATACAGAGAGCACGTGACTGTTGGACTTTTTTCCAGTTAAATGCTGGGAGGAAGGCTTCAAGCAGTTTTATTTCCTGTTCTCTGAACAAATGCAGTTTTTTTCAGCCAGTGTCTTTCATTGACAGGGGCTACAAGTGCTCCACATGCACGTTGAATATCTTTTTCCCCGTTGGTTTCTTGAATACGGGCCGCATGGCTGTTTGAAAAGCCCAGCTGGAGAGCTAAGAAGGCACAGCCTGGTGAAACAGCAGAGCTGGGTTTGGCTTCAACTCCCAATCTTGCTGTTTCAACACAAATGTGAGGAAGAAAAAGCACTTAGAACTGTAGGAATGAAAYTGCCTCTGTTTTGAATAGATGCACTGACAGATGGAAATAGGTTTGTGCACTGTAGCATCAAACAGAACAAAGTAGTCATGTGAAGTGAGTACTTTCTGAAAAAATAGGTATTCCAAATACAGTGTTCACTATTTTTTTCTGCAATGCAAATGTGTATAACTAGGAACCACAGCTCAGTACAGCTGTGAGCAGCTCAAGTGCTGTGTAAAAGTTCCTGCTGTGTTTGCAGTCCGCATAGTCCAGCTCTCTCAGCATCTCTGCTGAGCTACCAGATCAGAGCTGGCAAGAACCTGGATTTCAGGCTCCTTTTGCATGCTTCTTAACTGTCCCTACTGAAATCACACTGGTTTGGCTCCCTTGAGACACAGAATTACTGTCTTTGGCTTGAGCAGATAAGCTACAGGGTCAGGGATGTTTTGAAGAGGGCTGCCCCACACTGGACGAAAAATGCGAAAGAGCAAGGAGTTGCCCCACGTCTCCTGAACTACAGATGAAGCATCCAAATCAGGAGACTCCAGTTTCGGACAACACACACACACATAGGTTTTAAGTACTTTTAGCCTAAATGTYGTTCCTTCTTGTTTCTTGGGTGTTGCTGACTGATTTGCACAGTATATCTGACTTCCACATGTTTCTGACTACTATAGTGATGTTCTTAAGTGCACAGCGATCACCCCTAATTCCATTTCATACAGATTGTTTCATTTTCTGGCCAGCTTTTGCAACATTATTTCTGTTATACTTTTTTTATAATGCAGATTTAGAAAACACATTCCTGACTGAAAACTGATTCCTGACTGGAGCTTGGGCTCCACTTCAATGCAATCATGTACCCGTTCTGAAACAGCAATCTATATAAGAGCCAGGTAAAGGTATTCATGCACCCACGCTCTATCTTAGAATTTTAGTGTATTGAAATATGTGTAAAGCTTGTGATGTGTATGTGTGTGTATATTACTCCAATTTATACTCTTGAACTAGAATGTGAATGCTGCAGCTGTGGTCTGGATAAAGAGACAGGTTTATTTCTGAAACAAGTGGGAGAAACACCAATGTGAATCTGGCCACAACTGACAATATGTTCAGCAGAATAAATTATTAATTATTAAACTATCTCACTATTTACTATTCATCTGGAATCTTTGTGAATTAAAGCAGGTATATCCAGTGCAATGGGACCCGTAACAGCTTCTAAGTATGGGTATAGTTACTGCTAGAGTAAACACCAGAAGGGCACTGTGTGACGATAAAGTATGTGCTCTGTAACAACAGGTGGCAGTATATGAAAAACATTCTTGCTTGCTGTGGATATAAAGCTATGACTCTGTTCTCTGAAAAAAGTAGTGTAGGGTAGTAATAAAAAGTGAGATTGTTCATACACACCACACAGTTCCTTTCTCAAGGAGAGACTGTGTAGCAAGTGCGTGTTGCAGGGCTTGATTTTGTTTTGAGCTTATTCCTAAGCCTGGATGACTCGCAGAGGATTGAAAAATTTCAATTTATAAAACAAAATTTCTGCATAAATCGTGTCAAATATGTTAGTACAAAGGCTCTTTTGCTACATGAAACACCATCAAAAGTGGTTTAAAGTGCTTTCAGGCTCTCTTTGAACAGTTTGTGGCCTAGGCATATATATATTTTTTTGACCTAGCAACTGATGATGCTGTAACAGATACATTGGATATATAAGGTCCTCCTTTACTAGACTAATTTTCTCCAGAGTGACAAAGTATCTAGATGTCTCATCTCAGCAGATTACGGGTCATATGCAGTTAATGATGTTCCTAGCAGTCTATTCTCAACCTGGAGATTACGTTCAAGAGAATTAATCAAAAAATATAAAGGATGAAAATTGTATAAGCCAAATCTTGGCTTGTAACTATTGAGCTCTGATATCGTGAGGATATTTTCAAAAGGCCAACGTCTGCCTGCTCACTCTTTTCCCCTCATGTTACAAAGGCTAAATTGTATGTCCTTTTGGGCAGAAATTATTCCTCAAAGTGTCTGAGGTCATAAAAAGATAGTGCTAGGTACAGAGTCCCAGTAGCATACTTGGAAATATGGGAGCCCTGGTGGTCTTTTCTGTCACAGTCACTTGTGTTACAAATAAAGCAGTGCCTGTCAGTCTCAGCTTTACTATTCCTAGAACCACCATTTTCCCTTTTTTCTTTCTTCTTTTGTTTGCATTGATTAAAGCACACAACCAACCTCCTTTAATAAAGCTGCAGTCTCCAAAACGATTGGGAACCGGGTCTACTTAATTAAATACCCTCCTGAACACCTGGTCATAAATGAGGAGCACATTCACTGCAGGACTGCTTTCCTGSAGCTGTAGAGAGATCATTAATGGAGTGATGGTTTGGGGCTGAGATGCAAAAAATAAAAATATTAGCACCACAGTGTTTTGTGGATTCATTCTGGACAGGAGATCAGGTAAAGAAGCTGCATAATACCATGAAGAAGGAAAACACGCAGCTGGTTCTGTGTTATGTTTGCAGCTGTTTTTTTTTTTTTGCTCTGCCACCAGTAGCATTTTCTCTGCAAGATGTGCATGGAGCTGCTGCAGTGTCTGCATGGGGGTGATCTGGGATGACTGATTTGGTGTAGGCAATCGCTACACCAAGAAAGCAGGATGATGCTCTGCTCCTCATTACAGTGCAAGCTTTACTTAAGATGGTCACTTTACTGGGAGTGTCTTTCTATTAGCACTTGAGATGGGGAAAAATAAGTTGCTCTCCTCCCCTTTTGGTAGATGGAGAAAGAAGAACAACCCTTGCTTCCTCATTGTGCTTGTCAAACTAGTRTCTTTCTCAGGTTTTCTAAACACACCAATAATAT